TTTCCTTAAAATTCATATAATTACCTTTCCCTTTTTCCCTCACCTCCCTATACAGATCTGTGTCAGGTTGGGGTTGAGATGACTTTCATCTTCTACTCTGTTTCTTTGAGATGGTCAAGCAGGTAGATTGGTCTTGGTTGAGAGAGCACAATAGAGTCCCTAAAAGGCATTCCTTACCACCATCAGTTGTGATCAAGCAAGCATCAAACCCTAAATATTTACTCACTAGTTTAAAAGGTCAAGTGGGTATTGAGCCCTTCCACATCTGCTGCGCCGAACTAGTTAAGAAGGTGTTGAAGCTTCCTTGGTTTAGAGAGCCCGATAGAGTTCCTGGGAGGCATTCCTCATCACCTCTTTTTTTTCCTGTATCTTGTTGTGATCAGACAGGCATTAGACCCTGACTCTTTACTCACTAGTTCAAAAGGATCAATTGAGTATTTAGCCCTTCTTCATTTACTGTGCCATCTGGTTAAGCAGGTGTTGAAGCTTCCTTGGTTGAGAGAACCTGATATAGTTCCTATGAGGCATTCCTCACTACCTCATTTTTTCTGATGTCCTGTTATGATCAGACACGCATCAGACCCTGACTGTTTACTTACTGGTTTGAAAGGATCAGGTGGGTTTTGACCCCTTCTTCATCTGTTATGCTAAACTGGTTAAGCAGGTGTTAAAGCTTCCTTGGTTGAGAGAGCCCTAAAGAGTCCCTGAGAGGCATTCCTTACAACCCCGTTTTTTTTCTAATGTCCTGTTGTGATCAAATAGGCATCAAACCTTGACTCTTTACTCATTGTTATAAAAGGATTAAGTGGGTATTGATCCCTTCCATCTATTGCGCCAAACTAGTTAAGTAGGTGTTGAATCTTCCTTGATTGAGAGAGCCCGACAAAGTCCTTGAGAGATACTCCTCACCATCCCTTTTTTTTTTTTATGTCTTGTTATGATCAGGCGGGCATCAGACCCTGGTGGGCTTCAGACCCTCACTCTTTACTCACTATTTTGAAAGGATCAAGTGGTTAATGAGCCCTTCCTTATCTATTATGTCAAACTGGTTTGGTAGGTGTTGAAACTTCCTTAGTTGAGAGAGCCCGATAGAGTCCCTAGGAGGCATTCCTCACCACCCCTTTTTTACCTTCTACTCTACTGTTTCGGTAAGATCATGCAGATAGTTGGTTTACTTATTTACTTTACCCTTTAGTCCTTTCCTAGGCTCTGCCCTTGCTGTAGGGTAAGGCCAAGAGAAGATCCCACTACTTGATCATCATTCAATGATCTCTTGATTTACTACTTTTCTTTTGGTTCTCTCCTAAGATCTGCCCTTACTGTAAGGTAAGGCTAGGAGAAGATACCGCTACTTGATCATCATTCAGTGATCTTTTTCTTTACTAATTTTCTCTTGGTTCTCTCCTAGGCTCTACCATTGCTGTAGGGTAAGGCGAGGAGAAAATCCTACAACTTTTTCACCTTTTAGAGATTCTTTACTACTTTACTTTTCCCCTCGACTTTGGCCTTGCCATAGGGTAAGGGTAAGGGAGAATTACTTTATTGCTTTACTCCTTATTCTCTCCTAGGCTCTGCCCTTGCAATAGGGTAAGGCTAGGAAAGGAACTCACTACTTCTTCACCTTTCGGTGATCTGTACTATTCCTCTTTGCTCTCTCCTAGGCTCTGCCCTCGCTATAAGGTGAGGCCATGTGAGGCCCCCTACTTTTTCACCTTTTTTGGTATCCTTTTACTTGTGTTCTTTACTATACTTCTATTTTTACATTCGATCAACGCCAATATGAGCGATTTACTAGTTTATTCACCGATCTTATTGGGGGTCTATTTGTTGACCTTGTTTTTCTCCAAATCCCGAGTCCAAGGTGTTGACCTTATCAAACTGACCAAGTAAGGCCCCAAGACCCCTCCCATTTAATTCAATGGGTCAAACAAAATTTATTGAGCTTAGACCCATGCCCTGGGTCAACCTGGTTGACCAGGTCAACCCAAGTTGACCTAAATTGACCAAATCTCCTCTTATTCAAATTTAAATCAATTTTATGCATTCCTTAGCCAAATTCTCACCTCTCTTAGACTTAGTGGGTTAGACCCAACACACTGAGCCCAAGCCAAAGCCCAGGGCCAACCTGGTTGACTAGGTTAACCTAGTTTGACCCAATTAGCCTAGATGGGTCCAAACCAAATTCCAATCAATTCCATGGATTCTTTAACTCAAATCTAGAGCCCCCTTGGAACTAATTGACTATGTTGGCTAATTCAACCATTGACTGGTCAACCTAAGTCTCCCTTGGTAAAATTTGACATATTTAGGTCAAATTAATGTCATTTAGAGCAATTAAACCCTTCCTAATGGGTTTTAATTCAGACCCACGACCAAAATAGCCTTGTCTCCCTCCTAATTGACCAAGGATTTGATCACGACCGTTGGTTATCACCCTAAGGCTATATAAATAGGAGAAATTATGGCTTCTTATGGACCTCTTGCTTTTTTCTCTCTTACTAGACAAACTGAGATATCTCATTTGTGAGCTCCCCTAGCTTCCTTCTATATTTCCCAATAGAAAACAACCGTTCAAAACTCGCTGGCAGTGATCCTCTGGCAAACCCAAGGCTCAAAGCACTCCAAGATAATTTCCTATCGATCCATCGCATTTTCAAATGCAATTTCTTTTACAACTAGGAGCGTGGATAGTTTATAAGTGCAACAAGCAATTAAAAGGGTGAAACCGTCCATTAACTAAGGTGAAATTGCAAACCCTAGTCTAGGACACATAGGGTTAAATATACAGTACGTTTCAAAATGAGATTTTAATTCCCCATGAATGCTCTTCATATGTGCTAGCTACGTTTAAAATTTCAATTAATTTCAATATGTATTTTGCAAAAATGAAATGAAATATCATATTAGGGCTTAGATTCGATATCTCGTCCGATGGGGGTTGATCTCAACCATTGATCTAGTGATCAACGATTTTGATCTGGTAGCTCCATAGTCTAGAGAAACTATGATGTTTGATCTTGCAGATCTGTGTGTCATCCGGCTCCATTACGATCGTCCATTCAAAAGAGTGGGGATCAGACGTTTACAAACCACGCTGACTTGGTTAAGTTAAACTGCGGTCCGTAGCAATGATTGCGGCAATCAAGTGCAATCATTATTGGTGGTGCAATCATTGTGCCAGGCAATATTTTCCTGAGGACTACGGGACCAATCCCGAGCTGCCAAGTGTCGTCCCAGCATTTTTTCTATTTATTTTTGTTTTAAATTGCTTTTAAACACATTTTAACTTCAATAAATCATTAAAAATTCATTTGTTATCCATAAAATATGAATAATATATCGAATTGATTGTATTTTAATCCTCTTTAATCTAAAATTAATTTGAATTAAAAATATTTTAAATATTTCAAAATATTATTAAAATAGTTATTTCAATTATTAATATAATAATAATAATAATGATAAATATTATTATTATTATTATTATCATTATTATTTATATTACTTATATTGTTTATAATATTATTATTATGTTTATTTTCTTTAAATCATTTTAAAATTCATTTTGTTATTACTATTATTTTTAAATTATTATTTTATAATTGTTTAAAAAACGCCATTTAATTATTATTTAAATAATTAATATCTTAAATATTTATTTTCAAATTATTTTTGAAACCTTGTTTGGGTGACCAGTGGATCTCCCGCTTATTTATGTATTTGTTTAAGTTGAATTACATTTAATTACATTATTTTCTAAAATTCCTATATTTATGTGTATTTTAAGTATTTTGAAATTACTTATAATTAAATCCCTAATTTTGGGAGATCCGCTACTTGAAATTTTAAACTTGGATTTTATACATGAATAGCATTCATTTGGGAGAGGATTAGTGGGTGGTTGGGTCTAAATCATTTACTAATTGCTTTAATAAGCATGTTTTACTTTTTTTGTTGTCATCTTTTACAAATGTAGGATGCACAAGCACTTAGCTTAGGCCCTCCTAGATCTTAGGTTTGTTGTGTTTACTCTCTTTTTTTTAAGCATTCCCGCCTAGATGTTACCTCAAGTGTTAGTCTAAAACTCAATTTAAAACCCATTTAATGAAGTGACACCCTATGAAATATAATTAAGAACCTGTCTATTGAACTTAAAAAAATTATAAGAGCTAGGATAGATCACTGATTGATATGGAACTTTCAAAATGTAAACTTAATGACATCTTAAACCTTCCAGAAATTTCTAGGAATTTTTAGGAGCCTTTAGATTCCTTAATTTAACTCATTAATTAAGCCCCAATAATTTCAAAAAATTATAATAAATACATTTTAACTCATAAAATTACCTATAATTCATCAAACTCTTCAGAATTCAACCCTTAATATTATATAATTAGGTCCTTTTAATTGAACTTTAATCTAAACCTTAATTTAACCCCGGTTAAAAATTATCTTTTTGCCCTTATTAAATAATTAAAAATTATTAAAAATTCAAAATTTTCCCAAACACTTGGGAACACTTCTTTAGGTCATTCCTGGTCTTTATTTTTTTTTTTTTTGAAGGAATGCATCATTTGCATTAAAATAACATCAAAAGAAATACATACAAGTATTCAAAATATCACATTCCTTCTTGATTAAAGTCATCAAGACGGAAGGGATACTATCAAAGGAAAAACTATTTTCCAATGCCAAAGTAGCACAACAATTAGCTACTTTATCACAAGATCTATAGGCATGATGGAAAACTACTTTATTAAAATCATTTAGAAACAATGCCTCCTTTGTAGACCAACTATTTATTTAAAGGCCATTTATTCTTCTTCAAAGAATCTTGAATGAAATGGATAATGTTGACATTATGACTCTCAATGATCACCCCCTTGCATTCCATCATCCAGCTTTTAAGAAAATCCTTCACCGTAAGGATTGCTTCCATTTCCAGTTGTGCCACATCCCAATGAATCTTCTTCTTGCCAAATGTAGTAATCAGACGTCCTTTATGATCTCGAAAGACCCCACCAATACCCCCAAGATTTAGAGCTAAGTAAAGAAGCATCTAAGTTGATCTTAATCCACTCTTTTGGTGGAGGGCACCAAGTATTTGAAGACTCCCTAAGGAGGTTAGTACCCCAGCTAGAAAGATAAGGACTAGACTTGGAAACAGCTACGAACAATGCATTGGAAGCAACCAAAGACCCAGACAATGCATCTTTACCATGCTTCACATAGTTTATGTTCTTCCAAGAAAGATAAATCACCGAGCAATACAGCTTTGCAATTCCAGAATTAGACGTTGAAAGCCTTTTAAGTTCATGTAGACATTCCTCCAAAGAGTTAAAAACAGGGATCATAATACCCCATTCGGGTACCTTCATGATGACCTCCACCATATACTTACAATGAACCATAATATGTTCATAAGATTCAACCACTTGGCATCCTCTCTCACAACTATCCATCAATGAGATTCTATGATTCTTAAGAAAAAGATTAGTTGGAATTGCAGCTTTACCTAGCCTCCACCAAAAAATTTCAACCTTCTTGCTGAGTTTGGGCTTTTGCAGCCATTTGAAGTACTCTACATCATCAAAATTGTATCTGTTAATCAGCATTTGTTCATAAACTAGTGCAGAAATTGTTTTCCCTGAACACCATTTCAACAACTCTATATTATCCTCCTCCACATCCTCGATTTGGATTTGAAAAATCAACAAAATAAGCTCTGAATGAAAGGCCCTCTGAAGCAATTCAGAATTCCAACCACCATTAAAAGTCAATAGCTGCTGAACAAACATCCCCTCCAGCACATTACAGTCCACATGAGTTGGCTATCGATTGATGCTTTTATCCAACAACCAAGCATCATTCAAAACACTAATTTTATTTCCCTTACCCACCTTCCATCTAATAGCATTCTTCAAATTTTTTCCCCCATCCAGCATTATCTTCCAAGCACTAGACGTGACTTTCTTCTGATCATCCTTCATAATCTCATCTCCATATTTTGCCTTCAGAGTTTGGTGTAACAAAGAATCCTGTTTTTGAATGAAGCTCCAAGAAAATCTAGATCTCAAAGAGCCAATTCTCAATAAAGGAGATTGCAAACCCAGCCCACCCATACTTCTCGGCTTGCAAATTTCACTCCAAGCAACATAATGCATACCTTTAGACCTATCACTCTTATGCCATAAAAAACTTCTACACATTTTTTCTAGCTCATGCAAAACTCTTTTAGGAACCAAAGAGTGAGTGATTAAGAAATTTGGCATAGAAAGTAAAGAAGTTTCAATGAGAGTGAGCTTACCTCCGATTGATAAGGACTTCTTACACCAAGAATTGAGTTTGTCCATAACCATAATAAAAAGTTCTTGAAAATCTGCCACTTTGCTTCTTCCAAGTGAGATCTTGACACCTAAATACTTCATCTCCTTGACCTCCTTAAAACCAATGATTCTGGTAATCTTCTTCTTCAAAGGGTAGCTCACCACCTTGCCAAATAAAATCTGTGATTTGTTGATATTGACTCTTTGTCATGTCCACTTGCAAAACACCTTCACAATTTTCTTCAATTCTTTGGCTAAAGTAATAGAAACATGAGACAAAATCAACACATCATCTGCATAAAGGAGATGTGTGATCCTTGGACCTCTAGGTGAAATCCGAATACCAAGATCCTTTCCCATTTGCTCCAAAGAATTGGATAAGAGTTGAGAGCACATAATGAATATATACGGATAAAGTGGACATCCTTGACGGAAGCCACTTTTAGCACAAATCCAATTGGAATTTCTTCCATTGATAATGATAGAAAACCTCACATCTACAACACATTCCATAATGAGGTTAGAAAACAAAGTAGGAAAACCATTCCACTTAAGAACCTGATGAAGTGTTGACCAGCCCATGCTATCATATGCTTGTTCCATATCCAATTTAAGAGCCATCAATCCCTTCTTATTCTTGGATACCTTGAACTTATGGAGAATCTCCTGAGCCAACAGACAATGCTCAGAAATGGATCTACCGGGAATAAATGCTGCTTGCTCTTCATACACCATCTTGTCAATGACTTTCTTCAATCTGTTGACTAACATGCTAGCCACAATTTTATAGTTGGTCTGACATAGGCTAATAGGCCTATAGTTTGATGGAAGCAAAGGATATTTTACTTTAGAGATCAAAGTAATTAAAGTATCCTTCCAAAATATATTTAGAATACAAGTTTTGAAAAAACAGTTGATTGCATTCCATAAGACTTCCCAAACTATGCTTCAATAGCTTTTATAAAAAGTGAAGTAACTCCATCAATACCTGGTGCCTTGTTATTCCCTTGCTAAATAACTGAGATCTGAAGTTCCTGAATTGAGAATTCCTCATTAAGCATAACCAAATCAGCATTATTAATTTTCTGGATTTCTTCAATGATTGGCCATCCCGTCAACTCGCATTCTCTATGCTCCCATTTCTTCTCAAAAAAATTTGTAAAAACCTTCTCTATTTGATTCTCCTCCACATGTAGCGTATTGAACTCATCTTTAATTTAGTTAATACGATTGCCATTGTGTCTTGCTGATGCAAAATTCTGGAAAAATCTTGAATTAGTATCTCCTTCCTCATGCCATCTCACTTTAGCCCTTTGATTCCACCAAGTAGACAACCGTATCAATGTAACATTAAATTCATGCACTTTGTTCCTTAGCAAAACAAGATCATCAGCAGTCCAGTTAACATCACAAGCTTCTCTATTTTGAAGATCAAGAATTTCCCTCTTCAAAGTTTCCTTCAAAACATTCAAGTCCTTGCATTTATTTTTATTCCAAAAAAACAAAGCCTTCATGATACGTTTGAGTTTCCTTTGAAGTATACTATGCTCATCACCATAGTCATTCTTCATCCAAGAGTTATAAACAATACACTTTGCAGTAGGGTATGATCTCCAAGTGTCCTCAAACTTAAATATTTTAGCTTTACAATGCATTTTATCCTTCATACTTAGAACAATAGGACTGTGATCCGATGCTACTCTAGCAAGATGCTTGATAGTAGCCATTAGAAGAATTTGAATAGCAGATGAATTCAAAATACATCTATCCAACCCTTCCCAAATCCGAGAGGTCTCCTCTTTGTTATTACACCAAGTAAATCTTGGTCCCATACTTCCAACGTCATGGAAATCAGAATTCACCATAAAACTTTTCATCTCCCTAGGTCCTTTTGAGAACAAGAACCTTTTGCCTCCTCTCTTCTCCTCCTTGTTAACAATACAATTAAAATCCCTTCCAATTATAGAGGGAATTGCATCCTCCATACAATCCTGAAGTTGCTTCCATAAGCTTTCCCTTTCCTTACAAATTCTGCTCCCATAAACCGTGGCAATTCTCCAAATTCCCAAGTTAGGAACCGAAAGACTACCAACAATTACTTGTGATGATGTCTCACCTATATCGAAAGAAACCATATTCCTATTCCATAAAACTAGGATGCCTCCTGAAGTACCCTCAGCAGGGTAGTGAAAGTACTCCCACTCCTACCCAATCAAATAATCAACATCTTTTCTGTCAATGCTAGCCAACTTGGTCTCCATAAGCCCAATAAAATAGATATTATGATCTCTAACAATTTCCTTCAAATATAAGGAGGCTTCTTTTTTCCTTGCCCCCCTACAATTCCAAAAAAGAATTGAAGACATTAAAAAGGTGTAATTGATCTCCCCCCACTCTTGGGGTTCAACCTATCATACCTCTTTTTCTTCTTATGATCCACTTCCACAGGTCCTAGTGATTTCAATTCCTTAGCCAACTTCACCTTGACAGCAGTACTTAAGACACCCAAACCACTGTTATTGATATCAGCATCAATACATTCTTGGTCTATTTCTGTAGTTTTTATATCTTTTGCCTGCTCTACCGAACAATTTTCTTCAGTATTTTCACTAAGTATAGCAAACCTGTTGGTTACAGCAGTCTCCGAGTTCTCCTTTCCAACATGTTTTTCATGTTCATCCCTACTTTTTGGAGCCAGGACATTGTTTCCATCAACATTATCCTTCTTATTCAAATTTTTTCTATCAAACTGTACATTATTCTTCTGATTGCTTTCTTCCCTGGCAGAATTGCCAAGTCTATCAGCATTCAAACCCTTCCTAGCAAAGTTTCCTCTGTTGTTTCTCCTGTCTTTGAAGTGAACATGGATCCATGGACCATATTCGGAACTAATCACTGAGGATTTATTCTCCTGCATTTTCTTCTCACCATTTTCCTTACCTACCTCCTTCTCCTTCAAAGATTGATTTTGTATTCCAATAGACACATTTTCTGAGCATATCACTCTGTTGTGGCAAACTCTACCACACTGATAACAGAGAAGATCAATTTTCTCATATTCAACCCATTGAAAGAACCTCCCTGCTGAGCCATCCACCCACACACCATTCAGAAGCTTTTTCTCTAGATCAATCCTTACACACACTCGAGCAAACTCCCATTTACTCCATCGGAATGTGTTTCCATCAATGTACATTGGCGTTCCCAAGCAAGATGCAATTCTTGCAATGTTGTCCTCATCCCAGCAATACAATGGTAGACAAGGAAATCTAACCCATACTAGTGTCGAAACTCCTTTAAACGTGTTAGGATTGAATGCAGCCGACCACCTATCCATTTCAACAATGAATCTGTTTACGTACCAGGGTCCTCCATTGAAAACTTCTTCAACCACTTCACTCGTATGGAATGAGCTCAGGATCCAATCCATACCAATCGACGTTAGGTGGAATCCCCCAAACCTGCTCCATTGCTTTCTCAATTCGGTGCTACAAACCAAAAAAAACACATTGTTACCCAGCACTTTAATCACCACAGAATTCTTCAAAATCTGTGAATTCCTTGCCTCCATATCAGCAATTCCATCTTCTAAAAATTCAACATGGTCCTTATTGAACGATAGCTTGATTGGCTTTGGTTTCGACCAGGCTTCACCTACCTCATTACTCTTGTTCTTTCACAATTCCATGTCCACTGGTCCTTCCTCCATAACTACATCCTCCTTCAAAAATCCCACCGATGACAAATCATCACCAATATTACGCCCCTTAAGCGTATCAAGAACCCCTGAAAAATTGTTCACACAAAGAATCAAATCATCCGATGCCGATGATTCATGAATTGCTACTCCTGGATTCACTTTTCCTCCAAGAATTTCCTTCCCATCCATATTCTCAATCAACACGCTCTTTCCCTTACCTTTAACTGGGGCTATTTGGCAACGATTTACCTCACCTTCTCTGATCACAGTTCAATTAGAACCTCTACCACTTGGACGTACAGGTCCCATAGGTCGCAGAGCGTTCATGAAGATGAACGCCGGCGATCATCCACTGCCGCCACCACCGATTGCGGGAAACCCGCAAAAAGACCAAATTCAAAAATAAGAAGATTGATTTCTCTCTCTAGAATTCGTGAGTTTCTCTCTCTAGAATTCGGGAGTTTTATTCGAAAGAGGATAAGTGCCTTTTGAATATTGGAGGCTTTGTCCAGGTCATTTCTGGTCTTTGGGGCTGCTTCTAATCTATTTGGAGCTGATTTGGATCAACACCATGAAATCACCCTAATTAAGCAATTTTTTATAATTAATTAATTGTCCAAACTTCTAAAATTCATAACTTGGCATAAAAAACTCCAAATCTAACAAACTCAAAGCCTAACAACTCCTTTTAAGGACTAATATTTAATTAAAGGTTAGAACTCCCAAACCTAGCTTATCTCTTATAGTAACCTTTTAGACCCCCTTAACCTAGTGCATAGGAGGACCCTAGACATTCCAAAATTTGGTTAATATAATTTAAACTTCAACGATCACTATCCTAAGTATTAAAAATGGATTAACAAACTAAACTTACTAAAATGGACTCGAATCCATTAATATTTAAAATTTAGGCAACTTAACTAACTACCCTATATATGACCTATCCAAAGCCACACAAGCCTACTACACACACATAGATGTGCTAGGGCACCACTTCTAGCTTTAGGATTAGGGTTGATATTTTACTTTTTGCTACTTCTGTGATGTGATATGATTATATGTGGCACGAGTATTGATTAATTTCTTTGATGTGTTGTGATGATGTTTCTTTCATTTTTGTGCCTTCTATATTATGCTTGTGATGCGTGCATTAGATTGCCCATGGATTAAGGTCATTTTTGTACTAATTCAATCTTATGCAGGTGACCAAGCTCATGTAGTGCTAAAATAAAGGGGTTAGTAATAATTAAAGCTTTAAATACTAATGTTGTTTTCTGCGAATGCTCTAGAAACTGCTTAGCCCTCTTAAAATTAAAAGAGCATGGCCAAGTATGTTTTCCTTTCTATAAATATTAATTATTTGTGTTGTAATTATGAACTGGTTTTAATTTTTATTAGGATAATCATGCAGGAGTTTGAGTCTAGATTTTCTTTTTCAAAATTTAATATAACTTGTTATTCATCGAGTTATGAAAATCTTTAAAACTCTGGAATTTCAAATACTTGATACCCAAAGAGAATAAGAAAGGCCCCTTTTTGAGAAATTTCTTAGTCATTTGGGTACCCTTCTGGAGGATGAACTAGAAGGAGCCCGTAAGAGAAGATTTGAAGGAAGATGATCTATAGAAGTATAATCCACTCAAAGATGGAGACTTGAGGATGAAATGCCTGGCTTTTAAGACTTGCGTCATTCATTAGGCTTAGAATCCAAGATATTGTCGGTGGAGCCTGGCCACCATTACTTTTCTGCATACCCTAGGTTGTACTTAAATGGCACTTATTGTGGACTTTCTTACTTTATTTTTTGTGGATTTATATTGATGCATTTATTTTTTGTGCATAGTAGAAATTGTTTGCTTTTCTTAGGTTTCTTTCTTGTATATGTGTGGCCTATTTTCGCTAGGCTCTTTAAGATAAAAATATTTTCTACTCGTAATTAATATTCAAAATTTTAATAATTAAATAATATAGAAACTTAACGACCTAGAAAATAGCCTGAGCCATCCAGAGTCGCATGTATACTATTTCTTTCTTCTCACTCCTTTTAATAAGACACCTTCTTGCCTGCGGGTAGAGTCTAGATAATTTGGCATATGAGGATGAAGTGATGGAACTAGGGAGGCCCAATGTTTTCTAAAAATTATTTTTATATAAGCCTATTTTTTAAATCTTATGCATACATGATTTAAATATTTCAACCAACGTGCATTGCATTAGAAATTCATTAAATTAAACTTTAATTATATTAGCTCTAGGGGCATTTACCCTACATAAGTCTAGGGTCAATTAGAAAACTCTCTAAATGTCGGCATTACTTCCAAGAACTCAAATTACCTACTTACTTTCATAAAGACTGGACATAATGGATTTTAAGCGCCTAGATGGTTAGCTGGCATCCAAGTGCATTAGCTATGACACATGTATTACTTTTGGGTAGAATACTAAACCCACCTTAGGTTTAAATTCAAGGCTACTACATTTGGGTCTCATAGTATGCCTAAATAGTGGGTAAGTTCCTTTTCTTTAAGAACTATAAATCATACTTAACCATGTCACATGGATAACGCCACCTCTGTCCTTTCTCTATGAATGCTTTAAGTCTTTGAGTTTCTCTCTTCTCAATTCCTTAGTCCCTCCGAATGCTGAGATGAACCATGCATGTTTACTAAGCCACTTGAGCCTTTTCTTTCCTTTTGAGTAAGAACTTCCTAGTCTCCCTTTTGTGTGTCAATCCCCCTTTCTTAGGAAGAATAATATTGGATCCTTACTTGAGAGTTTTCTCAAGCCACAGGCTTGAAAAATAATGACCACGGTGGCTTACACCCGTGGAAAATAGAATTTCACAATAAATAAACCCCACTCAAGCTGATGTATCGGGTGGGGGAAATCTATTTTTATGATCAAGTCATATATATTACTACCCATCGGGGTACGTTGGCGAGAGCCGCTATCCTCAATGGTTAGTCGTATGTGTGTTCTAATCTTCCCTTCCATTGAGCACTTGCGAGGAGCGTGAAGGCCTGTGATTGTTTTTATCCCTTGGGATGTTGCGGTCGTATACCTCTACACTTCATAGCTACGATGGTGTCCTTTTGGAGGTCCATAATAACCAATTCACCCCCCCCCCCTCCCCTCTTGGTTAGCCTTCGGACAATTGCATAGATTTAACTATCTATACAAACATTTTAGATATTTATTAATCAAATTTGAATGCTTGACAAGAAGTGTCTAAGAGATTATTATGTAAGATAAAGTAAGGGGCAACATATAATTTTCATAAACACTTACATTAAAATTTGAACTACACTTCATTAATAATCATGCTCTATTTAATGACCTCACTAAAAGGTTAATCAAATGGGATGAGGCCAAAATCAAATTCGAATGAAATTTTTAAAATATGAAATTAGATTTAACTCATACTAGCAAAATCTAATTAATATTAAAATATAAATCAAAATAAACTTTGTAAAATTCACAATAAATAGAGAGCAACATGACTAGCCACATTACCAAGTTTCAAAATATTTGGATAAGTATTACGGGAATAATCAATGAAATAAAAAAGCACTATTATTAAAAATGTTCCCTGGATGCTCATCAAAATAAGCTGAAACTATTTTTAAATAAAAGAGCTTAAAATTATGAACAATTTGAGTGGTTGCACAAAACTTTTGGCCAAATATTGGATTTGCTATGAATTTTGGAAAATTTTGTGTTTAAAATCAATTTTATTTAAATTAAAACTGGCAGAAGTGGTGGTGGGCCACATAGCACCCTCTAATTTGTTGATCTAAATTATGTGGGGATTGGATTTCATTTGTAATGATTGAAGGTAGTGCAATCATTATAAATGACTGAAAGGCAGCACGGTGGCTCACTTATCTGAGTCAGTGTCGCACAACCATTTTATCTTCTATTGTAATGAATCAATAACTAAGATCAAGATGGAAGGAGGTCTGAGCAATAAAATGACTGTACAAATTGGATTAACAACAAAATGATAAGATCTTGGCCATTGATTGTAAGATCAAAGTGTTGGAAATAATATTGAGAATGTGATTTTTTTATGATAGCAAAATATAATCGTTCTGATGATTTTATTATTTCTCCTAGCATGAATTGGATTTTTTTATTAACATTTTAGAAAATTCATTTACTACTCCAGATTATTGAAGACTTTAAGACAAGGGTAGAATATGATGTCATGTAATAGAGTATGTATATTTCTATTTTTTTATTCTTTAGTCCGAGTAAGAGTGATTGTAATTGGGTAATTATATGCACACACACAAAGGGGGAGTGTTGTAAAAATTTTTAAGTCTGGTCATACTGTACAATATTTAATAATACTATATGATTTGATAGTTTTTCCTCCAGAATTCAGTTAATCAAATTAAGGCTTAAAAATTTTGAACTATTCATATTATACGATGTTAGGTCATACAAATGACCAATAGAGTAAAAAAAATTTTATCTCATACCATACAAACTAGTTCATTTTGAACTATTTATAATGTATGATGTCAGGTCATATAGATGACTCACAGAGTACAAAATTCCTTTTGTCTCAGATTATCCCATATAAACTAGTTCATTTTGAAATGTTCATACTATACGCTGTCAGGTCATACATGCAATTAATACAGTACAAAATACATTTCATACCATATCATATAATATGAATACATTTATTTTGAATTATTCATACAATGCTATGTCAGATCAATCAGACAACCAATAGTGTATGAAATTAGGATCTTACATAGTCATACCATATGAATACATTCATTTTTGAACTATTTGTACAGTACAATCTAAATTCATATAGATGACTGATAGCATAGAAAAATAAGTTCATCCCTGTTCAT